GAATTAGTCAAAGATTGTATGATTAAGTGGGCACAAAATTTTGAAGAACCAGTGATGTTGGAAACATGGGAAAAAATTGGGTTCAGAATGTAAAATTTACACAGTCGCAAAATTTGAGGGAAAATTTTTATAAAATGTTTTATAGATGGCATTTAGACCCCCAAAAATTGTCGTGTATGTACCCTAATGTTCAGCCAAAATGTTGGAGATGTGACTGTTTAGATGCTACATATTATCATGTTTGGTGGACTTGTAGGAAAGTTAAAGCTTTTTGGATAAAAATTTGGTGGGTTATGCAGAATGTGTTAAAGAAAAAAATTTATTTTTCTCCACAACTGTTTTTATTGGGTATAGTTAAGGGTTTTACACTGGGTGAAACAAAGTTGATATTGTATATGATAACAGCAGCAAGACTATTGATAGGTAAATACTGGAAAAATGAAGCTTTGCCCACTATCGAGGAATGGACTATGAAGATGGCCAGTTTTGCAAAGATGGCGAAGATTTCGGCATATTTAAAAGACTGTTCACAAGAGACTTATGAATGGGAATGGAGAAAGTGGATAGATTATGTTCAGAACAAATACCAAACTAGGAAGTATCAAATAGCTTTTATTTGAAATGATATATTAAGATAGAAATATGTTAATGTAATGAAGATAAAAAAGAAAATTAAGGGGGAGGGAGGGGTTCAAGTTTTATATAAGTTTTATATAAAGGGTTTTTTTTTATTATTTGATATGAGTATACTGTGTGGAAGTCCGGGGGGAGGGGAGGGTTAGGGAGGGTTAGGGAGGTTGGAAAGGTTGGGGTGGGTTGAGGGGGAGGGGAAGGGGGTGAAAATGTAATTGTAAAACTTTTGCAATAAAAAAAAAAACAATTTGCCTTACATTACTTTTCATTTGTCTTCCATTTATAAAACCAGTTTGATTATGATGAATCATTTGCTGCATAACTGTCATTAATCTGTTTGCTAAAATTTTAACAAAAAATCTTATAGTCTGTATTTAAAACTGAAATCGGCCTATAGTTTTTAGGATCTGTATAGTCTTGCCCATCTTTTGGGATCAGCGATATAAATGCTGTCTTCCAAGTTGGAGGTACCTCTCCTCCCTGTTGTATATTATTGAATAATTCCTTCAGTGGTTCCACCATTTCCTCCTGTAAACTTTTATAATAAATAGCTGTCAAACCATCCGTTCCAGGAGCTTTACCCACTTTCAACTGCTTAATTGCAAACATAATTTCCTCGGAAGTTATCAATTGATTTAAGCTATCCTTCTGCTCTTTTGAAGTTATACAAATATTCTCTTTCTGCAGATATCTATCTATATCTATATCTTGAATTTTATCACCAGTATACAGCCTTGAATAAAACTCTAAAAAGGCTTTTTAAATCAATTCTTGCTTATAAACCTCCTTACCCTTGTATTTTATTTTCTCTATTGTCCTTGCTTTCTGCTTTTTCCTTAACAAATATGCCAACCACCTACCTGGTTTATTGGCATTACAAAAAGTATTATGTTTTGCATATTGTAAGCTGGTTGCCACTTGATCTGCTATTAACATATTAAACTGACCCTTCAGTAAATTAATTGCCTCGTTAATTTTCTTATCTGTTGGGTTGGTTATTAAGGCCCGTTCCTGTTTATTAATCTCCTCTTCTAATTCTTTTCTTTTTGCCCCCTGTTTCTTTCTATATTTATTATTCAAATATATCAAAATTCCTCGCATGTAGGCTTTACTTGCATCCCATACCATTTCCATAGATGTACCTTTTGCATATTCATAGCAAAAAACTCCTTCATAAATTTTTTACACTCTTTTACATTTTCTTCGTATCTAAACAGATTATCATTTAACCTCCAGGACCTCCTAGGCCCTTTCCCATACTCCAATTCCATCCAGACTGGACTATGGTCTGTCAATGTTCTTGAACAGATCTTCATGTTCTTCACCCTAGATAATAAATCATTAGTAATTAATATAAAATCAATCCTTGAAAAAGATTGATGTCTATCCGAAAAAAAAGTAAAATCTTTTTCTTCTGGGTTTCTTTCACGCCAAATATCCCTCAACTCCCAGTCGTCCATCATCTCCCAGAACAGTTTGGGCAATTTTGCTCTTGTTCAAACATTTTGTTTAGGTCCCTTCTTATCTTTTTTTGCATCCAAAACACCATTCCAATCTCCCAATAGGATACAAGTTTTATATCTCCATTGTGTCAACTTTGAGTTGAGTAATAAGTTATACATTTTTTCTTGTTGTTGGTTCAGGGCATATACTCCAATTACAAGCGTTTTTTCTCCTTTTATTAAAAGTTCAATCGCTAAAAATCTTCCTTGATCATCCGCTTCAACTAATTTTGCAATTAAGTCTCTTTTCACATATATAACTATACCATTTTTCTTCTCTGATGCTGCTGCAACATAATGTATACTTAATCTTGCATTTGTCAAATATTTTTGATCTTGTATCCTAATATGAGTCTCTTGTAAACAAATTACATCATTCTTAAATTGTTTAATTGTTTCTCTTCTGTGGAGAATTCAAACCGTTGACGTTCCAAGTCAAAAATCTAGTTCCCATCTCTGGACCTCTGAAGCGTCTGGAGCAATTTTTGATGGTCTTGCCTCATTTGACCTTTAGGTCTTGCTCCCCTCACAGCTTCTGTTTTGGTAGTTTCTTGAGTTGCTATCTGAAGTTGTCGTTGTTGTTGTTGTTGCTGCCTTAATTCTTCCTTACGCTTAGTTGTTGCTGCTCTGGTCTGCCTTTGATCCTTCGGTTCTGCAAAAATATCAATTAACTCCACATCTTGAACAGCCATCTGAATTTGTAGTGGTTCTTCTTGACCAGTCAAAACTCCCCCCTGAACCACTGTCAGTAGCTCTTCTCTCTCTCCTTCCAGTACTTCCTTCTTTCTTTTTCCTTCTGGTGATTTGGGTGTCCCAGTCTTTAATACGTTGATATAAAAATCTCTTGCTTTCCATATTGTATTAAGCCGATATCTCTCTCCAGAATACGTTATCACTAAACCGGCTGGGACCTCCCATCTGTACTGTAGTTGATGTTTTTTTCAGCTCATCCACGAGAAAAGCATACTCCCTTCTCGCTCTCAGCATCTTGGGGGGGATTTCTTTCATTGTCATCACCTCCTGGCCTTCAACCTGAAGCTTGTTTTTAAAAGTAGCCTGTAAAATTTCATTGCGTACTCTCCTTGTAGTAAAATATATTATAATGTTTCTTGGTAAGCGTTTCTGTCTAGCCACCCAAGAATTGACACGATATACCTTGTCAATCTGCCAGCCCAGCTCAGTTTTTGTCTCCCCCAGCAACTATGCCAATCCTCTGACATCATTTCTTTCAAGTTCTCTTGTTTATTCTCCTTCACCCTCTAAATCTTAAAGCAAATTCCATATCTCGGTATTGTAACATCGTTACATCATCTTCAGCTCTCTCAAGTTTGCTGTGAGTCTCTCCTAATTTTTTGTCCAAAATTTCTTCAACTTTATCATCCACCATTTCAATGTCACCTGCCAAACATTTAAATGCCAATAGAATATCATCTCTAATCTGCTGGTTCCGAATTAAAATCTCATCTGAAACAGCCTGTATTTTTTGATTAGTTTCATTAATTTTTTCATTGGTTTCATTAATTTTTCATTAATCACAGTAGCAATTTTATTTTGTGTAGCTTGTAGGGCTTCTTGTATCATCTCAAACGTTAAAGTCTGTGGGTCTGTTAGGGGGACAGAGGCTTACAATCTAGGGGTATGAGCTGGGGAGCTTCCAGCGCTCCCAGTTCCTTTAATAGGAACAGTCTTTACAGATTTTGAGGCCATTTTCAGTTTAAATTGATCGTTGTATTTTATTCAGAAGCCAAAAAGAAAAGTTCATCAAAGTCCAAGAATTTTCCCAATCGTAAATTAACGTTTAAAATCCTCCTTCTCTCAGCACAGCAGTTCTTTCCAGGCAAGAGGCTGCCAGGGAAACGAAACTTTCTGTAACTTTCCCTTTCTCCGCCCCTCCCTTTCAAGTTTCAATCGCCATTTTAATTTGCTAACTTGTTACTTCCGAAGGAGGCTATAAACTTTGGAGTTAAGTGTGAATACTTGCAGTCTGACTTCTCCTGGCTTGTTCTGCCTGCAGCAATTAAAGATGTTAAAAATCCCTCATTTGTTGTCAGCAGAGATGGACGTGGCTTATAGTCCACTAATTAGCGGAGTCTTCCCAGGTCCGGAGCAGATTGGCAGACTTCTAGGGAGCCCTCGCCTTTCACGCCCCAGGATTTCTCCTAAGGCACTTGGGGGGCTCTACCTCTGCCTGCCGGCTCTTCTCTCTCCCCTTTGCCCGGGGAGAGGGTTTTCAAGCCCCAGACAGCTGTTTTTTGCTGTTCTGGGGCTTTTATGAAACCGGGGATCGGATGCCCACGGAGGGGTGTCAGCGAAGTCCTGCGGAGCCAGCCGGAAGTCCCTCTTTATCATTTTAGACAGATCAAGCTACTTCCAAAAATATAAACTTTGTTTCCACAAGATACTTTGATAGTGAGCAGAAAACTCAAAGGCACATATAAATATATTCATGAAACTCTCCAAAATAATCAGTAGATTTTTTTCATTACTCACTACCTCACTTTTTAACCTGAAGTTCTAGACTTCTATTCCTAAAAGAGTGCCAAGCACTGAGCTCTTAGTCCTTAGCTCAGAGAAATTGTCAGGTGATTCTTAGTCATTCATAACAGCTCTGGATTCCTACAAAAATGACATGTTAACTACTGCTTTTGGCAATCCAGGCACTTTTAAGAGCAATGCATGGAAGCAATGTGCACATAAATGATCCACAGAGAATTCCATCTAATTTCACGCTAATATTTTAATGCTTTGTAGTTCAGATCACTTGAGTAAATGGTCAGCTTTATAAATCTGTTTCAGCAAGAGCAGTGGACAGTGTCTAACTAATTCTTAATAAAACAAGAAAGGCAGTTGTATGTGTTTACTTACTGTTGGTTGCATAACATATGATGGATGGGGCATCCATGAAGTACTCTGAACCTGTGTACCAGAAAGAAAAGTCTATTAGTTAAATGGCAAGAAAAAAAAAGGGGGTGGGGGTGGGAATCAATAAATAGCCTTGCTTTGAAAAAAAAAAGATTAGAACGAAAACTTTGTGTTAAATTTTGAAAATTTCACAATTTTAAATGTTTATATCCTATAATTATACCAGAGCTGGAAGTAACACAGGTAGTCCTCAATTTACGACCACAATTGAGCTCAAAATTTATGTTGGTGAGACATTTGTTAAGTTTTGCCCCATTTTGTGACTTTTCTTGCCACAGTTGTAACACGGTTGTTATATGAAAATAGTTTCCCCATTGACTTTCCATGTCAGAAGGTCACAAAATGGGATCACATGACACTGGGATGCTGCAATCATCATAAATGTAAATCAGCTGTCAAGCAGCCGATTGTAAATCACATGACATGGAGATACTGCAATGGCCATAAGTTTGAAAAATGGTCATAAGTCACTTTTTTCAATGCCCTTGTAATTTAAAACAGTCACTAAGCAAACTGTTGTAAGTCAAGTACTACCTGTATTTTGGATTTTTTTTTAAAAAAATGGATCTGATCTAGTTCCAGGGTATTATCAATCATTGGACAGGATTGATACTGCAGATTAGATGCCATCTGAATGCTATTCAGTGTTCAGCAACATTAAATATCACACAGATCTGAATATGTATGTATATGAATGTATGAATATATATGATGTACATAGCAATTAACTGAGAAATATAATAAAGATTAAATTGTACATGAACAACAATCAATACCACATATTATGACTAATATAAAGGAAGCAATATATATTACTGCAGGACTCAAATGTTAATTTCAATTTCATATTGAAGGATGATCATATTTATGACTTAGTGACATTCATTATTCTATACTCTTTCTTTATAAAATGACATATATAAACAAGAATACTATTGTTTGTATTGTTTTAAAATGTTTTTAGAATTTTGATTGTAATATATTTTTTGAATTGTTAAGTTGCCCAGTCATTAACTGAGAGGGGCAGTTTTAGAAATTGATTGATTGATTGATTTAAATTCATTAATTTAATTAATGAATGAATACTGTAAGTAATTCTTTGCTGATGCTTTGAGAAGAACCACTAAATCTTAGTGGTTTAATAAAGCATAATGCTATTAAGCAAAACAATTACGGTTCAGACTACATTTAAAAAATATTAAATGGGTTTTCATGATCAATTAGCTCAGATTGATGATTGTCTCATATTTTATAATAAATAGCAATCTTATGAGGAAGAAATAAACAGATATCATTTTGATAAATTTCAAATTAAAACTAGTTCAAAAATCAAAGAAATGTATTTTCTAATAATTCTGAACTTTTTGCAATTCTGCCCATTAAAAATAATCTTACTTTCACATATCTTGTTTACTAATGCTACTGTGCTTTCAGACAACAAAGGACAAATGTCAGGCTTAATAAAGCTCAGAAAGACCAATAAAAAAATAAAATCATGCAATAATAGACTTTGGACTATCTAATGTAACATAAATATATAAAAGGTCACAAATCCAAGGTCACTGTTCACGTTTGATTCTTTCTACAACTATTTCTCACTTTACAGAGCAGAGCAACTATAATACAAATATCTAACAGAATAACAACAGCCTGATAACAAACTGGGGAATTATGCCAAGCCTGTTCCAATAATTTGTGGGGTATTATGTAATTGAGTCTAGAGTGGTAACTTATGTATTATATTGTTCAAAACATTTCAAAATGGCACTGATATCAACATTCTTGTTGTTCCCATTTGTTTGGAAGCCACTTTTATGATCAGCTAAAGTTTTACTGGCCAAAAAAAGGCAAAGAACATGTTTTAATCAACCCTAATTAGTATCCCTTCCAGTAGACCAAGGAAGCATCCCTTCTCTTATCTTTAAAATCTAATGAAAATGGTTCTAGGACAATTTATGCCAGCCATATTGCCATGCCTACTCTACAGCGCCCCCCCCCCATCACAACCAATCCATCACTGATGCTTCTGCTAAGTGGGCCCTCCACTGGTGCTTTCCCACTGACAATGGTCTGCTGCAGCAGTAGTGGCAGTGGCTGTGGTGGCAGCAGTAGGCCAGCAGTGGCTGCTCCTGCTGGGGCCAGACTGCATTTGTAGCTGTGCAAAACAGCTGCCTCCATGCCTCCTGTCCACCCAATTTTTGTTCTCCCCATCCGGGCCCTTGCCTTTCTGATGTTTTTAAGCAGGGTGACTCACTTTGAGCTCCCTTCTATGCATGGGGTGCCCCTGATCAGTACCAGGCAAGCGAATAGCCTGGCACGTTCCCCACAAGCATGACTCCCCTCTGCATGACTCATGCTTGTTTGCTCCACTGGCTGTGGCTGTGGTTTGCTCCACTGGCTGTGGCTGCTCCACTGGCTGCCTTAGGTTTCTTAGGGTTCTTAGGCTATTAGCAATTTTTTCTCTTGCTATATTTTCATCTCTTCAAATATTTACCTCATCATTTAACTATTTGGTGGCTAAATAATTATTTTCATGAAACACTTATAAACTTGTAAAACTTCACAAATTTTTGACAATCAGGTGTGCCGCGTGATCATTGAAACCTTTTTAAAAACCTTTTTAAAGCATTTTTTTACTACCGGTTTGGGCGAATAGGTAGTAAAAAAAATGCTTTAAAAAAGTTTTTTAAAAAAAGGTTTCGAACATCATGTGGCACAGCTGTGATCGTTGGAACATTTTTTTCTTTACTTTTTAAAGCATTTTTTTTATTATCAGTTCATCCAAATGTGTAGTTTTTATCACTACCGGTTCACCCGAACCGGAGTGAACCAATAGCATTTCACCCCTGGGGCAAAGTAATCAGATACAGAGGACCAAACCAGCCCTAGAAAAACTTCTTTGCCTGTTTATTAAGTAGGCCTCCAATGTAACAACTACAATGCATATAAGTTTCTCGAGGCAAAGCAACATGGAACTATAAAAGTCTTGCAACAAATGGGGTTGCTGTATTGATTCAGGAGGGGGTGTTTTGCATGCATTTCCATTCTGTTTTGATGAGATGTAAGTTATAATTCCAGTGCAACTTTAGCTCATAATAAAAATACACACATTGCTTAGTTAAGAAAGCCTGTTTTTATTATAGTAAATACATAACAGGAATCATTGCTATTGTTGGTGTTATGGGAGTTATGGGAGTCAAACAGTATCATTTTTCAATAGAAGATTATCTATGTAGCTCAGAGTTGAACTATGAGGTTCTTGGTGCTCTGTAAAGTTGATTATTTGCTTGTAGAGATTTTATTACCCAACTACTTAATAACAGTGTTGTCAATATTACTTTTCTTTCTGATCATCACTTCTGGTTTAAAAGATACACTTAGATTATGTAAACTGAAATCTTAATTTCTTTCTCTAATATGATAATTAGAACAATGATTTCTGAAAATTAAACTGATTTTTGTACTAACAATTTTTTTCTTTTTTCTTTAGATGAAGCATCACAACCAGAATACATCAAGAATCATAAATAACTCTCTTTTTTAAGTGCTATTAAACAGCAAAGTTAATGTGCAGATCTGGATTATATGTTGTATATATTTACCCTCCATTGATATTCAGATCATAGATACTGACTTAGGGGTATATGAGGTGATTCCAACATACCTGATATGTGGAGACAGGGGAAGCAGCAATGAATGGCGTGATAGATGTCTGTGGAATCATGCGGTTTGTAGCAATACTGTACGGTGAGGAATAAAATCTGTGAACAAAAAAAAAAAAGGAAGAAAAAGAAAAAAGAGGTATTGGACTGACGACTGCTTTATAAACCACTACCATCTGAAGATAAATGTATCTGTGTTCTCAATTGTAATTATTGTTAAACTTGTGGAATATTAATTGGAAAAGAATGGTGGAATAAAAATCAGATAAATTAACAAAATAAAGCAATAAATGGGAATAATCACCCATTTATACTTCTGCCTTTTCATTAGCAAAATGCTTTTTAAAAAAACCACTGAGCTAGTTTCTGGACTACGATTAAGATATTGAAAGAGTTTAATTAAAAACTTGTTTTACTCAGATTTCCAATTAACTATGAAGTCAGAGACTAACCAAAATAATGTTGAAATAAGTTTCTCATCTTTATTTCATATTAGCCTTGGAAATGGGCATTTTTCAGATTTGTCATAAAATTTATGTTTATTGTATTTGGTCTACAATCCTTCATATTGCAATGGTACACAGTCCCTTTCTAGAAAGGAAGAGAGGTCTGTTTGAAATATGAACATAAGAATATATACTGTCTTCATGGATTTATAATCCATATTCAATGGATATAAGTAACAGGAATGTCTGCTGTGGGATGATGAAGAGGAGGTTGTGAAAAAGAAAAACAATATGGCAACCACAGCTGTGCAATTAAGGCAATATTTTATCCTAGTCTTATTATATCAGCCTTGCGCCACAAGGAAAAAAAAAAAAAGTCCTAACCCCTACTCTGTTAAGGGATTTTGTAGGTTTTATTTCTGGAAACAGTATTTAACATGTGCATATTAAGGAACATCCATATTAAAAAAAAAATACTGGGAAATAGTTATTCATAATAAAATGTACACACATTTAAAAGGTGTTATCAAAGTTAATGTTAAAACCAACGGACATAATCAATGGTATTAACCATTGTGTTGCCTTTTTTTTTAATTTTTCTTTTGTTGAATTTTGAGATGGTTGAAGAAATAAGTCAATGTGAACATTGTATTACAGATGGTAAAAATGGGAAAATAGGAATGAAAACAGATATTTTGTCTTCCTTGATTTTCTAAAGGTTTCATCAACATCTGGGAATTGGGAGGAGAGATTTATTCCATAAAATTGTAGTAACAATTAAGACCAGATGAAGCCTTAATTTCTAAGCCTGCAGTTACACATTTACCTCAGAACAGAACAGATGAGAGACAAATATATGCAGACATGAGGATGGTATAATATTGGACTTTAGTAACAAGTGATAATTTGTTGACAAAATAACTTTGCTGCTGATTAATTGCTTTGGGAACTTAAAAGGAACAAAAATTATGTGTCACAAAATGAATACCTTTTGATTTACTGACATACTGAATAATTACATGGGTTATTTCTGATTTTATAACCATTGCATAGATTAATTTAACTACTGATAATTTAACTATTTTTTTAAGTGTCCCATGCAATTCTGACAAACTGTATTCATGATTAATGCAATTGTTTCAAATTTCCTAATAAATTTCCTAATAAATAAAAACCATTAATTATTTAACACATTAGAATAAATAAATAATATTAACCAGTTTAAAATTATTAAAGCCATGGATTAACAAATTCAAAATGAAACTAAGCCAAACTTAAATTCACTTTCAGTTTCTGAAATATAGTGGAGGAATTTTTTAAAAAACATTGCAGAAGTGAATATTTTTCACTGTAATAAAAATTGCATTTTATTCAAAAACCTGGGTTCTAAAGTGTTTCTGTTTTGCAATAATGCTCATAAAAGACCAATTTTTAAGATGAAAGTGATGAGAAATAAACTAAAAATGAACTAATTATATACATAATAAAATATAATTAGAATATATATGTATATATATATATGAGGAAATTTATAGATTATGTAGGTAACCTTTAAAAATTAGTGTTCTCAGAAAAAGAAAAAAGTGGTTTAGCCTTTAAATATAAATCTAGTCTTTAACTAAACATGTAACATTTCAGAATAGCTTAGTAATATTATTAATAATTAATAAACAGTTAATTTCAAGGCTGGTAAAAACATTGGTAAAATTTCTAAAACAGATATTATTATGCAGGATAGTACTTATTCAGTTCCTTTCTCTGTGGCTGGTTCCAATTGGTGTTGATACAAGGAGAGAGATCCAGCCCACAGTCACTTCTTTGTGGGGTCATAGGGCTCAGTGGTCTCCCCACTCTTTTTTTAACATCTATAGGAAACTGTTGAGTGAGATCATCTGACACCAAGAGGTGAGATATGCTAATGATAATCAGCTTTACATGTGCACTCCGGTGACCCAAGTGATGCTGTGGTTGCCCTTTCATAGTGCCTGAAGGCTGTGAGGAACAACAGGCTTCAGCTCAACCCTGATAAGATGGACTAGTGGGTAAGCAGAGCCTTGGAATCCAGAGGTTTATTATCTCTAATTCTGGATGGGATGGCACTGCCACTTGTGCAACCTGAGGGTTCGCCTATCTATACTCACAACTCTTGCAGTTGTGGCTAGAAGAGCCTTCACACAACTTTGTGTAGTTCGCCAATTGCTCCTTTTTCTGAACTGTGAGGCCCTGAGTTCAGTTACTCACATGCCAATCACCTCCCGCTTGGATTATTGTAATGCACTGTACATGCAGCTGCTCTTGAAAAGCTTTCAGAAGCTACATAACCCAGCACTCAGAAAGTTTTGGAGGCCCTTAGTGTTTCTGGTTGGTGTCACGATGTCTCAGACGGGAAATTAGCGGGGCTCCTTGGAGCCCCACAAAAAAACCCGTCTGTTAAGCCGCCATTGGCAGGTCAATGGACCTACCCTGTCCTGTAGGGACAGGGGGATAGAGAGGGACCCCTCGGATGGTCGAGAGGAACAGGCAGGTTCCTCGGGGCTGGAGGATTGCCCTCTGCGCCGGCGGCAGTGGATGCGGCAGCCATGGCGGCTGCCCCGAGATTGTGACAATCAGAACACAAAGATGTGCAGGAGGAGAAGTGGAGAGCGGAGCAGGGATTTTGAAAGCCGAGTGAGTGGAATGCTGTCCAGGCGGGAACTGCCCATAAAAGCTGGATTATAAATAAGTATGCCCCAGCCTTAACAGTGGCTGGGAAATATTGGGGCAAAAAGACTCAAATGAATGGTGGAGAAAAGACCTGTTGATAGATAGCGCTAATTACAGAATTCTTGGAAATGACTTTATTACAGATTTGGTCTTCTTTTTTCTTTTTTGTGGCTAAACGAGACTGGATTATGTTTGAGAGAGAGGAAAGAGAAGAGGAAATAAATATGCTTTTAAAAGTAAAGACAAAAGACAAACAGAGATGGAAAAAATGGCTGCCAGCTGAGAGTGAAAGTGTAAATTCCAGACTGCTTGTTACTTGAAAGAGAAACTTTGTTGCTTGTTACTAAAAATGGATTATTTTGAGAAAAAAATTCAAGAGGCTTGACTTTGGACATATAATCTGTGTCATGGAGGATTTATTGAAGATCAGAAAAAAGAAACTAAATGGAATAATAAAAACTGATTTAATAAGTGTGGCAACAAGAGAAAAAGGGCGTGGCAACAAAAGAAGGACATGATGATATTATATATGGAATAGCCAATTCAGAATTAACTTTATAGAACTTATAACTTTGAGGACATTGAAATGGAAAATAAATATACTCAGACAGATTGGAGAAAGAAAGAAAAGGAATATATCATGTAACAAGATAACAAAATACCACAGTTTGAATTAAATGCATGTAATGGTTTCTGGGAGTTTGATGTCTGAATAATCCTAGGAGATACTTTCCTTCTTCTCTTTGCTCTTTCTCTATTTTTTTTCTTTCTTTCTTTTTCCTTTTTCTTTTTTGTTTCTTTTCCCCTCTCTATTTTTTCTAATTCTCTTTTCAATTTCTCTTGTTATATTTCTATTCTCTTTCCTTTTTTATTTTTGTTTCTCTTTTCCTTTTTTTATTTTAACTATTATTAATATTGTTACTATTCTCTCTCTTTTTTCACTATTATTTTTATTAAAGTTGATTTTATGAATATACAAACAATTTGATTAGGAAAAAAAGAATATAAATGATTGAAAAACATGATTTTTGGATATCTTAATATCTTTTTAAATTTGGAATTTTTAAGCTCTATTTACAGACCCAATAATTTTGAAGAAAATGTTTTTTAAGGTGCTGGATATTAAAAAGAATTATTTACAGATTTAACAATTATAGAAAATTGATCTTAAAGTGATTCAAAATGTTGATACTTATTGGAAATAAGCATGGCATGGAGGAAAGCCTAGGAGAGAATAGGAGTTAAGATATTTGTTGATATACTTTTTTTATCTTAAATCAGTTAAAGATACGGAGGAGAATGGATTTAAAAATAAATATGAGTAATAAATTGTGAATTAATTAATTGTAATTTAATTTAAATAATTAAAATAAAATGTTATGAATTAGTTGAACAAATGAAATTAGGAGTGGAGGGAAGCATGATTCTGAAGAACAGTGAAAGTAAAGCTGTGATCTAGTCTTACAAATAAGGTAGGAGTGGAGGAAAGCATCATACTGGAGAGCAGTTAAAGCAAAACTGGAAACCAGTTAAAAATAAAATAAGAGTTAGGAGTGGAGGAAAGCACGTGCTGGAAAACAGCTGAAGTAAAGCTGTGAACCAGCCAATAGAGTTAGGAGTGGAGGAAAGCATACGCTAGGTAACAGTTAAAGCAAAACTGTCAAAACTAGCCAAAAAATAAAAAGTTAGGAGTGGAGGAAAATATATCTGGAGAGCAACTGAAATACAGTTGTGAACCAGTTAAAATAGAGGTTGGAGCTGAGGAAAGCACTGCTGGAAAGCAACTTTTTGAGCTGCGAACCAGTTTCATAATAGATTTAGGAGGAGTGAAGGAGATAATGTTGGTATGCAGTTAAAATTATACTGTGAACCAGCCTAAATAAGTAAAGTTAGGAGTGGAGGAAAGCATCACTGGAAAGCAACTGATTAAGATGTGAACCAGCCAAAAAA